TTTGAATTCAGGGCTTTTACTTGTAAAGTAGTGTTAAAGAACATAGTATGGTACTTTTACTAAAGTAAATAATCTGAGTCCTTCCTCCAACACGGCTGTATTCCTAGCATAAGGCTGCATGCATTTCCACCACTAAATTGGTTTGATTTGTTTTCAATTGAGTGGATAAAAATAGTTAATGTTGGCTTGTGAAAATTCAGGCTACTGGTTCCTTACATATTCTCATCAGAGCTCGTCCTAAAACCTAAACCCAAAGGTCATCACTGATATGAAGTACAAATAGGTACTGTGAACGAATTTGAGCCTTATTGTGTTTATTCATTCATTTTTAATTGTTTTGTTTCCAAAAGCTCTTTTTGTGTTAATTTGATGAAAGTCATATTCCAGTTATATATATATATATATATAGGTCTTAATACTGCTACTCTTTTGCCAATAGTAAATGTTGCATTTCTATCTTCCATTGATCTATATACAAAGTGGCAATTGATTACAGCGGAAAGACCAAATGAAGAAGCCACACTCATTTAAAAATGTAACATTCGTTCATTGAAAAGCTGTAGGTGTTTTTTTACTGAGTTTACAGTGGTGATAAATCCTGTGCTGGTGCCGCTGACAAACATTGTCTTAAACATGTAAAATAATCAGATTTGATTACATTACTGACTTTGAGTAATAGGGCAGGCTGTTTTGAATAACCGAACAACTGAATGACTCTTATAACCAAATTTAAAAAAGGCTGTTATCTTGTGGTATGTTGAAGGACTGGGCCCATGCACCTCCACCATTATACCCCAGGCTCCATGTCATCAATCCTGCCTATAACACTAAATCCTGGCCAGGATCTATGAACCCCTATTGGTATTGGATTCCAGGACAGCCATTAAACCAGGTAAAAGCTTTAAAACATCATCTTCAACCAATTCAAAAATGTAACACAGACAATGTATACAGACAAAGTACAAGAAAACAAAATCAGTTTAAAAATTATTTCATATACACTCTTAAGCAGCTGGTGGTGGATTTCCGACGGCGCCAACACTCCCCCACACCAGTGAACATGCAGGGAGCGAGATTATGAAATCCTACAAGTACCTGGGGGTTCATCTGAACAATAAAATGGACTTGTCTAATCACTTTGCTGCTCTGTACAAGAAGGGACAGAGCAGACTCTATCTGCTGAGGAGACTGAGGTCTTTTGGGATGCAGGGGGCACTCCTTCAGACCTTCTATGACTCTGTGGTGGCATCAGCCATCTTCTTTGATGTGGCCTGCTGGGGCAGCAGCATCTCGGCTGCTGACAGGAAGAGACTGAACAGACTGGTTAAGAAGGCCAGCTCTGTCCTATACTCTGTCCTATTCTATAAACCATGGACTACATTTCTCTGTGTTGGAATTCGACAGACACTGCTATATTTTCAAAACTGTTACTGGTACTAGATGTGTATTTTGTAAATTGTATAATGTCTACTTCCAACCTCTCCACCATGGGCAAGACTAAAGAGCTGTCTAAGGACCTCAGGGACAAGATTGTAGACCTGCACAAATTGTTTACAAGACCATCAGAAAGCAGCTTGGTGAAAAGAAAATGGAGGTTGAAACATTATGCTTTGGGGGTGTTTCTCTGCTAAGGGGACAGGACCACTTCCTGCATCGAGAAGAGGATGTACGGGGACATGTACCGTGAAGATCTTGGCCTATAACCTCCTTCTCTCAGCCAGGACACTGAAAATGGATCATGGATGGGTCTTCCAGCACCACAATAAACCTTAACATATGGCCAAGGCAACACATGAGTGGCTAAAGAAGAAGCACATTTAGGTGATGGAGGGGCCTAGCCAGTCTCCGGACCTTAATCCAATAGGAAATCTGTGGAGGGAGCTGAAGCTTCGAGATGCCAAGCATTAGCCTCAAAACCTTCAGGATTTGGAGAGGGTCTTTAGAGAGGAGTGGACCAAAATCCTTCCTGAGATGTGCACAAACCTGGTGACCAAATACAAGAAGCATCTGACCTCTGCTGTCCAACAAGGGTTTCTCCAAGTACTAAGACATGTTTTGCAAGGGGATCAAATACTTATTTCCCACAGTTAAATACATTTTTATCTTTTATATAATGTCAATTTCTGGATTTTCTTTTTGATATTCTTACTCTCACTGTTAAAATAAACCAGTAATTTATTTGTAAGTGGGTACACTTACAAAATCTGCAAGGGATCAAATACTTATTTCCTCCACTATATTTGACTCTTCACTTGCTGTAACAAATGTGCATTTCCTCTCTGTGGGACGAATAAATGTATTCTGATAATTCCTCATACATACTCCTTTAAACCATTTTTTTTAAAGTTAAGACATTCAATGGTAACCTTGTTAACAGAAGTGGCAATAACAGAGTGATATTGACTTTTAGTCATTTATTTATTTATTATGCACTTTTTCCTGCAGGTGTGGCTTGATCTCGCATAGCATTTTGGGCAGAGGGTTTTAGAGGCATTCAGGTTGTCCATCATCTCCAATGCCCTGACGCTCCGTGGCATGGGAGACGTGATGGCGGCTTATAGCAGCACTGGTTGATTATACTGTTGGACAACATATACACAAGTTTCAATTCAACATACCAAGTTTTATTGACATATGCACAACAGCGTTGTTTAGGCAATGAAAATCCTAACCCTAAACCTGGGTCCTAGGCTTCTCCAATAATGCAACATACAATATACTCAAGACATAAAAAGATAAGTGAAAACACTTCACAGAGCTCAGGAGTTTTACAGCCTTATTGCCTGTGCGATAAACTTAAGCTGCACTCAATAAAGACATAATTAATAAAGTGTTGCTGTCAGAGAACATACCTGGGCACCAACACTGCACCTCGTCTGGGCTTTGGCTTACTAGCCTTCACCATCCTCTTGCTCACAGTCTTTCCTCTCCTGCTGAGCTCAGGCTCTTCCTGTTCAATAGGCCTTTTGCTCTGAAACCAAAAATGTTGATTACATTTCTTGAGTTTTAGAAAAACTAATCTATAATTGGCACAAAAGAGGATTAATTAAACACTTACTCTACAAACTTATCAGACAAATCCTTGTCCTGTTTTATTTTCTCCTGCATTACATGGGCATCAGATGTCCCAGGGAGCATAGAGTGACTCCTGTGGGTTTTCTATCATCCTTGCTGCAGGCTTCACCTATAGGTGCAGGCTGCTGTGCATTTATGGACAGTCCAGCCGTGGCAGCCGATAATTTGTCCAACGTGTCACTAGCAACCAGGGGACAATACTACAAAAAGTTTATATATAAGGTCATTTAACCTTAAAGAACTAAGCACAAAGTGAAAAGTCATCAAGTATTTGAAATGAATAAACACCGAAATGATCACTGTCATATTATATAATCACTTGTAGGTAAGTAAAACTAACAGAATGAAATATTAAACAGAAACTCACAAATCCACTTTGTAAACTTAGAAAACTAAACTAACATTAAAATCGACATGCTAACCTCCTGTTCAATTGATATTGTACATTTTGTTTTCTCAGTACACTAAATAAATAAGAATACATTTGAATAAAAACAAACTAGAAAAAAGAGACTTTGCATCTTTATTTCAACTTACTGGGTTGCCACTTGAAAGGTTGTGGTTACTGTGATTCATGTTTGTCAAAGAACCTGATCATTCAGATGAATAAAGGTTTTGAATGTTTATCCTGTCTCTCTCTCTCTCTGGTGTGGAAACTCAGATCGAATGACTGTAAATTCAGTTGGGTCTCCTACTGAACAACTGACACTTTGATTCTAGAACTGGTATGGTAAGACATGGATTGGAATACTGATGGGAACATTCCAAAACAGAACATGTTATTAAGCCTAAATTAGTGAAAACAATATAATAACAAATTAACACGTCAATAAACCAAAAAATAAAACTGCTTTGCCCTTTAGAGTTATCTGGCCAACATATTTATCATCACCTAGCTTTTTTTCATTAGCAATATCACTAACCATCTTCCAGTGGTGGAAAGTAACTATGGTACATTAACTCAAAAACTACATTGTTTCAACATAATTGTACTTTTCTTGAGTATATCAATTTTTTTCTAGTTTATACTTTTACGCTACTACATTTCTGAGGAAAATATGGTACTTTTTACTCTACTACATTTATATAACGCCGACAGTTACTATTTACTTTTTTTACATATAAAGAATACATGACATGATCCAGTACTGTAATACAAATGTTCCCAGTATTTTCTGAAGTCTCTAAAATAACTCCACACTGAGAAACTACAACATTATAAAGATATGACATGTATTTGTTGGCAGTACAAATATAAAATAATATTATATAGTAATAAAATATTCTAAGATGGGTCATACAGAAACATATAGGCTACTGTGGTTTAAAAACATTATCCAAATCAACTCAAATGTAAGTGGGTGACATAGAAAGCCACAGTAACCTAACAATTGTAACATAGGACATTTTTTAAGACCAACACTGATGGCCTTATTATTTTTGAGTTGTATCATGAATTTTATTGCATGCCTTTTTTTACCTGCTATGCCACTTTTGCTGTAACAATGTACATTTCCCTGCTGAGGGACTAATAAATAATTTCTGATTCTGATATCGCATAACCCTCTATCCTTTATGTAGTATTGATATTTCTTTATTTGTGTGCCCATGTTCTTTTATTCTTTGTCCTCACTGAACTGATACTGCTGCTGCATAGACTTTATTTCCCATGTGGATCAATAACTTTCCATCTCTCCGGGTTAAAATTACATAAGCTCTTGACTGATTGCATTCTCACAAAGCCTTTCTTATTAAGTTATACTTAGAAATCACAAATTGTTTAAATATTGTCAAATTTCTTTCGTGGTTAACACGTGATTATTATTTTGTGCGGTGTTCTTTTGATGTGGGTCACGTGAGCAGGCCACGAGACATTCATTCGCTGAGCACACGTTCAACAAATTGAGACTAATTAGCTGGCTAGCTGACTTCTTAAATATGACCTTTTATTGATGCTAGCGGTTATAATTTGGACATTTCTCACAGGCTGTTAGTCCACATCATGGCTTTTTCCCTGGTGAGTAAAACACTAAATATATTGGTGTATTGAGTTAGTCTAACGTTGACATTTGACCTTATGTGTGACATGAAACTACCACCGACGTATCTCTCTTCTAAACTCTTAATTCCTACCCAAAAGAACTCCCCAGAGCAGTCTAATAATAGTTGAAAAACCAGCCTCATATGTGCTAACCTTGAGCTAGACTTCTAGCTTTAATTAAGAAATAATTTCCCCTGTCTTTTGGTTTCTTTCCCTGCAGAGAAACGATCCCCGCAGGCCAGACAGCCCGGACTCGGAGTCTGCGGCCCTTTCGACCTGCAGCAACGCGGACATCTTTCGCAGGATGAACACCTTGCTGGGTAACGCTCTGGATTTCAGCGGTGTGTGCACCACACCTAACAACACCAGGGGAAAGCCAGACCTGCTGTGTGGTAAAGTCTGTTTAGTATTTTCCCACTCTGCAGCAGGTCGTCTTGGCTGCAAGAAGCAAGAAAACTATAAATGGTTAAACACAAGGTTTCAGAAAAAACTAAATCCAAGTTAAGTCCCTCCACTGAACATTACCCATTTGAATTCGAGCTCACATGGAAAGATGTCGTTTTATTAAAGTGTTTTCATGAATTTAAAGTGAGTGTTTTTGGTTAATGTTACACTTTTAAGGACCAAATGCGTTTTTAACACATTGCCATCAATACCATTTTGAGTAGAACATTTGTTTATTGTAGGTCCAAAGATAATCAACCAACTGCTCTTTTTGTTGTTGAAATATCACAATTTCCCAGAAGCCCCCCATGTGACATCTTGACGTTTCTGGTTCTGTCTTTACCAAACAGTCCATAAACCAGATGTCTGTATTTAAATTCTCAAACAATAAACACAAGCATTTGACCAGCTGAAAATTAAGATTTTTTTTTGACATTTCTTATAGACAAAGATCTTTCCGGAATTACATTTTCTGTTGAGACTTATTGGCAAAATGTTTTTGCTCTAGTAACCAGCATCCTATGTGTATATGTATGCATACTGAAATTAAAGATACGCAACCTATGTGATAGCTACTGAATTCCCCTGCTGCTGTTATGTGATATGCATTTTTGTTGTGGAGCCACATTTGGGCTAGAAACCATAAAATAAGATGGATATTTTTTTCATGTTAAAAGTTTCATCCTCACAGGAGTCCCCATCTTATCCAGAATGCCATCTGTTAGACCTCGTTCACCTTGTCATTATCATTCAGATGCCAGCAGCTGATTCGTGCTGCATCGCAGATCTGCAGCATTGCAGCACTTTGAAGTGTTTTAACCCCAGAAGTGAGATTGGCCAAGATTTTAGCTCGGCACAGTGTCTGCGTACTTTTTCTTGAAGTGGTCATTTGCTCAGGGCATTTCTGTAGTCTTGGTCCAGATAATGTAAAGATGTATATGCGGCTCGACATAAGATGCAGTATGACACTTGTGTGTGATAAGTTACAATTGATACAGAAGGGAATTGTTTGTTGCTGCAAATAGAGTTAAAATTATGTTGTGGCCTCTCTTCCCCCTCCACCCTTGCTCAGTGTTGCTGAATCAGGGCTGCAGCTGGATGCTATCCAGGCCTGGAGGGAGGAGCTGGCATTGCAAATTGCTCCGTCCTCATCATCTGATCAGTCAGCTGATTTTTGCCACAGCAAGGCTCTACATGCACAGTTCCTTTTAAAAATCAGGAAAATAAACTAGTGTGTGATTTTTAACAAGCTATCTATCTATTTTCTAATAACCAATTGAGCAGCATTAAGTGTGGCTTTTTTTATTTTAAACAAAGTCTGCTGAGTCATTTGCTCCCCTGCTGCCTTCCACCATGCTGCTGTAGCTCTGCCCCTCGCCTCGCCCTCCCTCCTCCTGCCTCTGTCCGCTCGCTCAGGAAGCGAGGCTAGACGGAGTTAGCTGTAACTGGTAGCAGTGGAGGCTCTCTTCCCACTCACTCAGAGATGTGCTGTGCGTACCAGAGAGCGGAGTACTTCTATCAACAAACCAATAGCTCCAGCAGGAATTTTTCATTACACAGTTGTTAGGCAAGGAAGCAGTGAGGTGGGGGGGACAGCTGATGTCATTAGCAGGGGTGTGTGAGTGCATCAGCAGCCATGTCACATGCTGCTAGGTGGGTCAGTGATGCGGACAGAGATGCATGGCAGTTGCACCGGGCACAGAGGCAGCAGGTTAGCTCCCCCGTCAGCCAGGGTAGGGGGAGATGTGGTCGTGTTCAGGGAAGTTTATTTTTAAACTAGATTTATTTTCACAGAAACTGTTTTGTGTGACTAGTTACTCCCTGCCCATTTATATGCATAGACTGAAACAGTTCTTTCAGCTGCCTAACAAATTCTCTCCTCTCTTCTCTAAATCTCTGACCTGGATCTTTGATCGAAAAGAGTCGGAGCTGGCTGCGGTGGGCAGCAGGAGGATGCTCTTCCCAAACTGTGGTGGAATTCCCGGCTCCCAGGACACGCCGACGTCCCGGGGCCCTCCGGGTGTCGCAGACCTGGGCCTGGGCCTCCAGTCCCTCCGGCTGTCTGGCTGGGACAGACCCTGGAGCAGCCAGGATACGGACGCACACAGTTCCCCCTCCCCGGTTCAGACCAGCTCACCCTCCAGTAAGTACCACTGTTCTTGTTTACCTCGATGGATAAAAGGAATGATGGCAAAACCAGCAAATATTTTTTTAAACAATCAATGTCAGAGGGAGGTTGGTGGTTTTCTGAAGAGTTTATAAGCTCTTTCCCTGACCCCATTTATCTTAGCATTACAGTAGATATTGTAACATCTGTGAGGTAGTGTGTCTTGACTTGTGTAGCCCTCATGTTTAGAAATATGTCGTGCATCATCATTACAGCAGTCTGTGTGTGGGAACAGACTGTAGCGTCAATAGGGAGGATGATGTGGCAGTTTTGCTTTGCTGCATCTCTAGCAATCCAGCAGGCAAACAAATACTCCAGTGGAGTTACTTTTTCTTTTCCTAAAACGTATTGGAAGAGATGTGTCTTGTAACAACAAGGTTGACTAATTTCTAAAATACGAAGTACCTGTTGATGACACTGATGATGGCAGGATGTTGTTTTTCATACACGATATACCAACCCCCCCAAGTTAGCTGCTTATCATTTGTACATGGGTGATGTAAATACTTATATCGGATGTTCACAGTTCTTAAATGAGTCGTCTTTGTGGAGATATTGCAGACTGTAAAGGTGCCCCACCTGCCCTGACCCATTTGTAGTGCTATAGTTTGATCGCTGCATGTCCATACCCACCCAGCATAACTTCATTTAGAGCTTTCTGAAAGTCTGACCGAGCTTTGACTGCGGCCTAAAGCTGAATAATACCCCTCAGTGCTGCCACATGTTTACTGATAAAGGCAATACACCTGACTCTCTGTGTTATGGGAGGAATAAAGCTGCTGGTTATAGTTCAGGAGCTAGCCTTTCTTTTTGAAAGGTGATGGATTAGTTGGCCTCCAGTTTGTAAAATGTGTAACTTCTGTGACAAGGTTGTGTTCCAGGTTTTAGTCAGCCAAGTTGCCAAATATCAAAAGTAAAACCGCTGTAAGCTTCGCCTCAACTGTGTTGCTGTTGGCAGCCAGCTTGTGCACCGGCACATTTTGGGAAATTAGAAACCTACATTATGTGACTTTGCCCCTGATTAGAAACCTGTTTTGCAACTTGATGAACAAAGATGCAAATGTTAGAAACTTGAATTTGCAATTTCTGCATGCCTCCTCACAAATCGATATTGCTCTGTAGATTCAGCACACACTTCAGTTTGCTCATCCTCTTGCAAAACAAACGACATCAAACAAGCTAAGCAGTAACCATGGCTACATGTACACAAATGGCTGAATCATCTTAAGAAGACTATTAATGGTGTTGTCCTTTTCCTCCAGTGCTGGGTATGCTGAACAGCCCCTTCAGCAGCCTCCTTGGGAAGCCCCCAGGCTACCTGCCCCCAGAGTCCATGAGCATGGCTGCTGACTTCCTGGAGAAGTTTCCCAGCATGGCTCGCATAGCAAACCGTCTGGACTCCAGCTCCTTTTTAGACTCTCGCTCCAACAGTCCTGAAGACTCTGAGACCAGCGGCTTCAGCTCTGGCTCAGACCACCTCTCTGAAATGCTGGTAATGATACTGGTTCTGTGATTCCTGTTTATTATTGGATTGTCCGGGGAGCTCAGTCATGGGGACATTTTGTTTTAAACATAGATTAACCCGCTGGTTTGACCTTAAGCCATAAATTATCAAACAGTTGGGTGGGCCTTTACTTAAAATGCGCTCCTTTCCTACCTCCCTGTAAAACCCTTTCTGGTTTTTATTAGCTTTTTGTTGTTTATTCAATTGCTACACTTGGTTTATCTATGATTAATTCATTCAAATGTACATTTCCAAAGCACTAAATCGTTTTTACAAGAGTTTCATTTACAGAACTATTTTATATACTTCCTCAGATAACTTTTTTTTTCTTCCATTGAGCTACACAATTAATCTCAACACTTTCTACAATGATGTTCCATATTGAAATCCAGTGGCTCTAAGGGCGCCTCATACAGTGGTATATATGGCCGTTGTCATTGGCCAGTCTTTAACTTTTTGTGCTAACTTTTTCTGAGAACATATGGTAATCATTCAAACTCTAAACACTGATCATATTTTAAGTATTTTGTCTTCAGTATAATAATCTGTACATGTCTTTTCTCCAGTCGACTCTGCGGATTTCCCCTCCTCTGCCTTATATGACATCAAGCATGCAGAAGGACCTGCTGCGGCTGGGCGGGCGTCTGGACCCCCAGGACTCCGGCTCCCCTCTGACTCCACCGCCCAGCGTCAGCCCCGCCTCCGGCATTTCCCGCCGCTGGCGTAGCAGCTCTCCCTGGCCTGGTACAGACATGCTGGACCACCAGCCTGATGATACGTTCAGCATTGAGAGGGAGGCCCGCCTGCACAGACAAGCTGCAGGTGAATCTGACTTCAGTCAAATGTTGTGGTCTCTAAAGCTCACTCATAATGCATAATGAATGTTATAAGAATAATTTAAAAAAATGTACCCCAGAATTTTTGCTTACCTTCTTTTCTTCTGGACGTTTCAGCTGTGAATGAGGCCACGTTCACCTGGAGCGGCCAGCTGCCTCCCAGGAACAACAAGGATCCTCTGTACTCCTGCAAGGTCTTCCTTGGTGGTGTGCCGTGGGACATCACAGAAGGTAACTGCTGCTTTATTGTAATTTGACTTATAATAGTGATGATTTTAAGTCTTACAGTGCAGTTCTAAAGGGGTTATGTATGTATATACTTGCATAATCCTGGTAGGGTAGGCTAAATATGCTAGATAAAACATAACCAGTAGAGTAAAAAAATCGCTTTTTGCTAACTTTGTGGCTCCTGGTGTGAGTCTTGAGTCTGAGTTGTTTTCTTTCTTTTACCTGTACTTCTGAGCACATCTGTGAGTGTACTTTCAGGTTTTGGCCTTCATCACTGATAGTCAATAAAAAAACCTAAAAAGTGTAACTTTTACATTCCAAAAGTGATGAACATTTTGGTTGGTAAAACTATCAAGGGAGTAAGGAATTTCTAATAAGAAAAAGATACATGTTGTAAAAATCATTTTCTTGTATTGAGGCTAGACCACATGACTTCTGTTAACTAAACATCCTTTTAACTTTGTTCACCAGTATTTTGGTGACACACTTAGAAAAATATCTAGTCATTCAACCATTGAAAAGTTGGAATCAAAAAGCGGAGAATGATGCAAATATACAGTTTTTGGTGCCCACCCTCCAATATGAATGAACTCGCACATTGAGCAGCTATCTTCTTACAGCCGGCCTGATCAACACCTTCAGCGGTTACGGCCCTCTGAGTGTGGAGTGGCCTGGTAAGGATGGAAAGCACCCTCGCTGTCCTCCCAAAGGTAATGTTGCTAAAGGTAACGACAGGCTGGTAGGCTATTTTTATTCCTTCATGGTGTCAGGGTGGCACAGTGGTGAGCACAAAGCATGTTGGTGAGTTTGGCTGGAGGTCTCTGCAGCTACACTGTATTAGTGATAATGGGAATTTAAATGTAGCATAGATGGATGAAGGTGACTAAACATGAGTATGCTTCATAATAAATTAGACCTGTAGTAACTGACAGCTTTTGAAAGCTTTTATTAGATTCTGTGATTGTTCACTAATCACCTATTCCTCTGTTGGTCAAACAAAATAATGTTTGAGGGTCTTTTTTAGGATTGATCTATTTATTTTTTCTGATGCAGGGTTCAAAACCAATGTCTTCATAATTTGAGATGTCTACCTGCTACATACATTTTCTTTTTGTATGGCTTATAGACAATTTAAGGAGAAATTACCTGCCTAGGCCGCAGCTCATGATTATTTTAACTATGGATCATTTGTTGAATACTTTTTGCTTAATAAAGGTTAAACTGAACTGAAAATGGATAGATGTATATTTAAACATACTCTATATCCTAAAGTTTTGTTTGTTATTTAGGGTATGTTTACTTGGTGTTTGAGAACGAGAAGTCTGTGCGGGCGCTGCTCCACGCCTGCTCCCAGGACCCCTTCCACCCCGAGGACAGCAGGGAGTACTACTTCAAGATGTCCAGCCGCAGGATGAGGTGCAAGGATGTGAGTAGTACAGTTCTCAGGAAATGTTCTTCCCCCCTAAAGTATATACTTCAGTCTTTTCATGGTACTTTTTACTTCCACTTAAACAGTGTATATAAGAGTATATCTGAAATTAGTTGATTAAAATATATATGTTTTTAAACACAAAGACAAACGTTTAATTGTTCCACCTTATCAATAATGACAAAATGATGAAGTTTGAACTACTGCTTCAGTATTGTTTACTTAGCACATTAATCGAGGAGGAAAATGAGTTCCAGTCAAACAATTAAACATGACCACCTACTACATGAATGCATAATTACAAAAGAAATGTAATGTAGTTACAGGGTGCATGTTCCTACACTAAAAGTAAATTTTCTTGATTAAAGTTACATTCTTTAACTTAAGCAATATGCAGGACTTAAACCTGTACCAGAGTGTTTTTGACACTGTGACGATGGTACCTTTCCTTTAGTCAATGTAGTAAATGTGGATCCTTCTTCCTCCAATGACTGCAACATGGAGTTGCCAATGTTCTTACGATATCCACACCCCGATCTCTTCTGCAAACTGCTGCTCAGCCATGCAATTAAATACTTACCCACTCCAAAATATTACAAATACAATTCCCCTTTTTATTGCCGAAGCACAATAAAGCTGATCAAATTAAACGATCCAACAGAAAACAAAATGGCATAATTTATAATCCATTAATTGTTCATAATAAACAAATAAAAAATAAAAAGCAAAACATTCCAGCAACTGACGAGGGAGCATTTGCTGCTTTTCTGATTTTAGACTTGGCTATAACAACAATTATACTTTGAATAATTGACGGTTTTGTCGTCCAGCTACACGGTAATGAGTATTTTCAGGTTATTTTTGTATGTATTTATATAGGATTGAATTTTCCATGAACAAAGTTGCAATGTTTGCAAGAACATTTGAATTGACAGTGTAGAATAAAAACATTAATTGGTATACAAACAGTCCAAAAGGTAAATAATTAATTAAACTCATCATTAGGAGAATTAGTTAGAGTGACTCGTGGGACTCATGTTCTGGTTTCAGGTGCAGGTGATCCCCTGGGTGATCTCTGACAGTAACTACGTGCGCTGCCCCGCCCAGCGTCTGGACCCCAGTAAGACGGTGTTTGTTGGGGCGCTGCACGGCATGCTGAACGCTGAGGCGCTGGCCAGCATCATGAACGACCTGTTCGGAGGAGTCATGTACGCTGGCATCGACACGGACAAGCACAAGTACCCCATAGGTGAGACTCCTGTGTGCCTGCAGTCTGAAGATCTCTGGTTAGCTTTTAATGACATACTAACTGGAATAACTTCAGTCCTTTGCACTGATTATAATGAAATAACTTCAGAAACAATTGGGAGCACTTACTGAGTCACATTCATAACCCTACATAGACAGGAAGCCAATTTAATGTTTTAATGGGTCGGGTCCTCAAGAGTTATGATTTTACATTTTTGGATCATTTACAGTTCTGACTATTGAGAAATCAGAGAAGGCCATGAAATGATTGTTTTTATAAATATGGTCTCTTTCAGGCTCTGGACGCGTCACTTTTAACAATCAGCGCAGTTACCTGAAGGCTGTGTGCGCAGCATTTGTAGAAATCAAAACCCCCAAGTTTACAAAGAAGGTAAGATACTTTCCAGCATGGTTTATAACTAATTTACGTGATATATCAAACTACCTGTCAGCATATAAAGACGTTTTAAATTAGCAACACTTTTACTGAGCTCATATTAAGGCATGTCTTACTGTAGTAAGAGATGTAAACTATGATTCGTTCCCCGCTGGTTATAATCCTTAATGTCCCTGCTGCTGTTGGGGAGAGTGACAGCCTTTGACTCGCTTGTAAAAAATAAGTACAAATACCTTATCAGTTGATTATCACTGCGTTGTCTCCCCCCCCCCCCCCCCCCATCAGGTCCAGATTGACCCGTACCTGGAGGACTCAATGTGTCAAGTTTGCCTTCGCCAACCCGGGCCTTTCTTCTGCAGAGACCAGGTCAGTGAAACTTATGAAAAGTAAAACATTTAACCCAATTCTGATAAACGTATTGATAAATTAAATGACTGTTCATTATAGGCTAGATTTTATTGTCATGGCAGTTGTAATTATTACAAATTTAAAAAATATTTGTAAGTTTACAATATCTGCAAAGAGGGATTGTTATTGCAATAGTGCTCTCCTTTTGGGTTTTACCTCAGATTAGAATGGACAGCATTTGTATTGATTGTGCATACTGTCTGACTTCAGTACAGCCATATTGCTGTTAGACGGGCGCCACGGGTTAACCTGTGAAATGTGATTTCTTCCCACAGGCCTGCTTCAAGTACTACTGCCGCTCTTGCTGGCACTGGCAGCACTCCATGGACATCCTGAGCAACCACCGGCCCCTGATGCGCAACCAGAAGAACCGGGACTCCAGCTAGAGCAGAGGAGCACACTCTGAAGGGGCCCCTCTGGAGGGGGGCGGCTGCCCGCCAAGGAGAGCACGTGTGCCAGGTGTCCCTCTGCACGAGGGCATCGCGGCACTCCACCAGGCACTGGGGATATCACTGTAGAAAATGTTCACTTTTGCACTTGCTACTTTTTTGCTGTTCAGTGGCACTATGCACAGTGTTGGGATGACAAGGGGCCCTTCACACATTTTCTCAGACCGGTGGCCAGACAGAAAGTTGGGAGTCAGCCTATGGTTAAGAAGTGGATGAAAATGCCCTTTTTTTTGGTTTTTTGTTTACTTGTGTTGCATAGTGAAGAGCATCACGCAAGTCTCATGCCGTTCATTGGCAAATGCCATACAGTGCCTTTAAATTTTTATTTTTCTTCCATGCTCGCTCCCACTCTCTCCTACCCCCAGTTGGCATCTGTTTTTCCTGTGCAAGCCAACTGGTGTTTCTTACTTTTGGGAGTTAAACGTTGGACTTCATTTAACCAGTCGCATTTCAGACATTTTTACGCAGTTTTTTACTAATTTGTACACACGGTTTTAAGTCATGACATGAACATTTTGAATAGAATTCTACCAGGCGGCCGTTTTGGGAAAATCCCCCTTTTTTGTTTTTCTCCTTTTTTTTTCTCATCAATTTTTCTTTTTAATTTGCCCTCCTAAACTTCAACTGAATGGGCACAAAATGTTGGAAGTAGAACTTTAACTTGCTTTGTTGGTCCCGTTATATTTAATGTATTTACCGATAGTACCTGATATGCTTCAACTGGGCAATCTATCATTTCTCAAGCACCTGATGGATCCTGTTGAGAGCAGAGTGAATGAACATTTGACTGTATGTAGTTTAATTTTTGCACTTTTTAATTTGCACGTGTGGAGAGGTGGCAGTGGTTTTTAATCACTTTTGTACATCAGCAGGGGGACTCGCCTATTTTAAAACAGCTGCTTGTTTCCTGTTGAATGTAAGAACTTCCACTTAGCTGATTGATAATACATTAAATCTATCCAGAGCTTGAGTAGACCAAGTAAATGATTCCACGCTTTCTTATCCCATTTTGCCTTCCTGTTCCAGTTGGACATAAATGCATAATAAGCTGTGTGCCAAAGACAAAGTGTCTTTTCTTTATCCATTAAGTTTGTCATGCTGAGCTTGTTGTCCCTTAGCCCAGCTGCTTTTTAGATTTTTGAAAGTCTACCTCATTGTGGTCTGCCAAGTTTGCTGCTACTAAGTTGTGGAGTATGTTCAGATTGGGCACAATAAAGGTGTTTAAGCATTACCTGCTGTGTCAGACTCTTCTCTTCTGGGTCATCTCTCTGGTCAAGTCATCACTGTCGGTTCTGTGAAATCTTAAAAAAAACAAGGTCCATGCATACAAATGAATCTCAAAAAGACAAGACTATATGCTAGATTATTTCTAAATGCTAATTTCAGTCACTGGGCAGGTGCCCATGACAACGTTGCAAGCATTGTACCTACAAAGCTTGTGACGCTGTCACATCAGCAACACGTCAACAGTCAGACGAGTTGTGCAAACTCATTTTATAGGAAACATTTGACACTTATGCTTACCACTCATTACGAATACTACAGTTCTTTTTCTTTCAGTCCGTGGCGTGTTTACTAAGCATTGGGTTTTAAATAAATTGCATTTTATCGTCTCTGTAGCTTTAACATTTTGATAAACCACTTATCTCATTTTACATACTGGGCTGAAATGGGCTAAACGCTAGATAACTCCGCCTGACTAAGTCTGGCTGCGAAATCACTGCATTCAACTTTTCTCACAATGCAACTTGTCTTGACCTTTAGACTTTCCCCGGCTGTCTCTACAAACTCCAGGCTTTCTTATTTGTTTTTGTCTTCAAAATGAGATTAAATGCTCATGGTATTCTCATAATATATATTGTGTGTGTGTGTATATATATATATATATATATATATATATAGCTTTTTTTTTTAAATTATATTTTCAACATATACTGACTACTTTTTAACACTATCACTCTTGAGCAAACAATGATTCTCCATGAATTTTCAACATACTGTGCAAATACTTTTCATATTTTTGACATGCTATGACTTATATTTTTTAATACAGTATACTTTGATTTTACGACCTACTTTAATATGACTGAATTTATATTTTGGACATACTATACTAATTACTCCTGAAATACTATGACTTGTCATATTTCCAACATAGAGATATTTTGGACATACTATGACTTTTTTTCATGACATTTTCAACAATTACTTTTTTCATGTCTTTCAACTATGACTTAATTTTCAAGATAACTGGACATTACATGCACTTTATTCATATTTTTCAACTCACTATGCTATGACCTTTTCACAATATTTTCGACATACTATACTATGAGGTTTTTTCATATAAGTATACAATAAATTATCTCATTGTCAAGATACTTTACAACACTTTTTTAATGACTATTTCCGCATACTATACCATGTTTCCTTTCATATTTTTCTAAAGACTATACTATGACTAATCTCTTTAACATAGTAAACTATGAGTTTTTGTTGATATTTCGCATAGACTATGACTTTTGTCATGTTTTTGACATACTGTAGTATACTTTGAATTATATATTTTTCAATTGACTATACTATGACTTTTTCGTGATATTTTTGAGATCCTGTAATATGAATTCATGAAATTTGACAAACTGACTTTTTTCATATTTTTTTAACATAGTAAACTATTACTTTTCACAATATTTTCGACTTACTATATATGTATTTTTTCCATGAGATTTCAGAGATACTATATATCATGTATTTTTTCATATTTTTCCAGTTACACTCACTGGCCATTTTATTAGGAACACCTGTTTAACCGCTCGTTAAGGCAAATATCTAATTAGCCAATCACATGGCAGCAACTCAATGCATTTAGGCATGTCGACATTGTCAAGACGACCTGGTGAAGTTCAAACGGAGCATCAGAATGGGGAAGAAAGGAGATTTAAGTGACTTTGAACGTGGCATGGTTGTTGGTGCCAGACGGGCTGATCTGAGTGTTTCACTAACTGCTGATCTACTGGGATTCTCACCCACAACCATCTCTAGGGTTTACAGAGAATGGTCCGAAAAAGGGAAAATATCCAGTGGGGGATATTTTCTTTGCACACTTTGGGCCCCTTAGTACCAATTGAGCATTATCTAAACGCCACAGCCTACCTGAGTATTGTTGCTGACCATGTCCATCCCTTTACAAATGGTTTCAGTGATGGCTACTTCCAGCAGGACAACGTGCCATGTCACAGAGCTCAGATGATCTCCAACTGGTTTCTTGAACATGACGATGAGTTCACTGAACTCACATGGCCACAGTCACCAGATCTAAATCCTATAGATCAGGGGTTCCCAACCTTTTTTCCCGAGAGCCCCCCCAAATTACTCCTGTTGGAAGTTGCGCCCCCCCCTCCACACAAGGGGGGGGGGGGGGGGGGGGGTGCAACAGACAAGGCAACAGCGGTAATTAGAGTTTATGAGTCTCAAAATGCTACAACTGCTGTCACAAACTGGATGAATGTGACATATTTTGTTAAAGGAGGATGAAAGCGTATTTAAGGAGCACTATTGGAGTGACTTTGATGGTTATTGGACTCAGGATGAATTCATTTGGATTCCCGCTGTATGAAGAAATTAATATTATGACTGCGCAAGTGTAAAAAATTCGCAAAGGGATTAAATTGTTTAAAACACATGCTCAAAGTAAGCCGGATTTTGCCGATGTGTTTATGTGGATTCAAAAGTCGTAAATAATCTACAAAATGGAGGAGACCGATCTGATCGGAGCAACTGTGACAAATAATCCAACTGAAACCGGCATGGACAATGACTATGTTTTAAAAATGCGCTTATCCAGACAAGCCCGGTTTGGACACCTTACGCGCAGAAGAAACATTTCTATTATATTATATTATTATTATTTATTATAGGCAAGGCAAGGCAAGTTTATTTATATAGCACCTTTCAACACAAGGCAATTCAAAGTGCTTTACAAAAATGGAAGACATTAAGAAAATGGCATTTAAAATCAGTCATTAAAAATAAAAGATAATAAAATAAACATTAAAAGAAAAAATACATGGATAAAAGTTACAGTGCAGTTTATAGAAAAAAGTATGCCTTTATTAGCTACTAACTAAAATTAATTAATCAATTATTTTGTATACGTTTATTGTAATGTATACAATCATGTATTGTGTAACAATTATATGTTAAAAAAAAAAAAAAAAAAAGGTAAAAAAAAGAGAAAAGAAAAGTCTAAATATGATATTAGGCCTCAAATCATCTGAGGCCTGGTGCACCCCCTGCGATTGTTGGCGCCCCCCAGGTTGGGAACCACTGCTATCGATCACCTTTGGGATGTGGAGGAACGGGAGATTCTCATCATGGATGTGAAGCCAACCAATCTGCAGCAACTGCGTGATGCTCTCATGTCAATCTGGACCATCTCTGATGAATGTTTCAGCATCTTGTTGAGTCTATGCCACGAAGAATGAAGGCAGCTCTGAAGGCAAAGGGGGTCCCTAATAAAATGGCCGGTGAGCAGTGTGCCGAATACGGGGGGGATCTGGGGGAGCTCGACCCCCCCCGATTAACACCTGAGCCCCCCTGAAAGCCTCTACAGCTAAATTTGAGGGGGGTCACAAATTATAATATTTATTCGTCACTTGCAATGGTCACTAAAATGTTTTTAAGCTTACTATGTCCAGTATTCATAATTCAAAACATTTACTCACCAATATCTACTATTTTGGCTGGCAAAAGCGGAGCCAGCCCTAAGCCCCCAGGAAGTGCGCCGGACTCTGAGGAAAATATTAGATGTGGCCAAACGGCGGTACTACACTTCCGTATCAGTCGCTGGGCCCGGAAATACTTTTTCCCATTGACTAACATTGGGAAAGAGACGTCTGTAAATCGTTTGATAATTTTTTTTAAACTAAATAAACTACCCAGTATGAACATTTGTTCAAGGGTCAGGACGATCGGTCCTCAGGTTGTAAAATGTGCTAATAACGTTATTCTGAGAGTTATTTTCCTCGGCATTATGAACGCGGATCTAACCCATGGGACCGCGCTGCCCGGCACGTTCATGTGACGTGTTCAGTACTTAATGCGTTTTACCTTTACCCATGGATGCACAATAAGAACGGATTATATGCTTATATGAATACTTTCTTATTATACATCCATGGCTGCGTGACGCAAACACAAATTCAACTCAACTGGTCAGGCCTCGGGACCCACTTTTTCCTTTGTCAATAAATCGCGACCCGAAATTTTGAAACACTCAAACGGACATTTTGACCGGAGAGATTTAGATTTGCCGGTCTTCAGCATATTTTACCGGTCATAGTCCGGTAATTACCGGCTAACGGGAACTCTGGATGCATCACTGCAGGCCTTTGCCCTAATGGCTAGGGAATTAGGACGAGTTGTGTCCTTATTGGTGCAGGCCGGTCGCCGGCTTTCTAGGCAGCCTCGTGCCTCAAGCCCAAGGGGCTCCGGAGGCCGGGGGGCTAGGCCCTGAAGTCCCGGGGCTGGTCGTCGGCTGATTTTCCCAGCAGCAGCTCAGCTACTAGGCTGCCTGTACTTCCAACCCTTGGGTGGTTTCCACCCTAACCCAGGGTTACGAATTGCAGTTCCGACGCCGGCCACTAGCCTTCGGCCGGGTCAAAATGACAGTTATCAGCGATTCGGCGAAGGCCTTAGCTCTGGCCCAAGAGTTGTCCGACCTCTTGGCCAAGGGCGCAATCGAGCCAGTAGACCCTCTGCTTCAGTCCGGGGGGTTCTACTCGGCGTACTTTCTTGTGAGTAAGAAAGTCGGCGGATTCCATCCAGTCTTGGACCTCAGAGGAATCAACAGATTCCTGAAGGTGCTGCCCTTCCATATGCTAACCACAGCAGACACCCTTCGTGTTGTCGCACAGGGGGAGTGGTTTGCAACCGTGGACTTGAGGGACGCCTACTTCCACGTGCCAATTGCATCCCACCACCGGAAGTTCTTGAGGTTTGCCTTTCAGTGCCGACACTATCAGTTCAGGGTGCTTCCCTTTGGTCTCTCCCTCTCTCCAAGGGTGTTCACCAGGGTCGTGGCGGGAGCTCTCGCACCCGTGCAGGTGCAGGGCGTGAAGGTCCTGCCGTATCTAGACGACTGGCTGGTCTGCGCGCCGCCCCGCCTCAAGTGGCCCAGGATACGGCGCGCCTCTTATCTCACGTAGCCCGGTTGGGCCTAACAGTAAA